CTTTTCCACTTTCAGTGATTTCGGCAATGTTTCTTTTTCATCGGCCATGTACTTGGGTATCATGTATAAGAAGACTGTCGACTCTCTCTGGTGGGGTGAATCCACCAGTTGCAGTCTCAACAAGGACTTGCATGTATAACCCCCTTGAGCCCTTCAATCAAATATCTGTGCCTAGACGGTCATATAATCTTATTTATGATCGCCTAGATCTGTGCCCTTATTGACAATACCATTGATTTCCACACCTGTTACGTGGATGGTTGGCGGTTGCTCTGGTGTGGCTTGCTCTTTCTAATCTATCAAGCATCTGTCGCCCTTATCTCCCTTACTTTTAAAACTTCCTACTTGGTATGTTACTTTCTTGTCTAATCTTCGGCACTTGTATAACCTATGTGTGTTGCAAATGCCGTAAAACTCGAGAACTAAACTAAAGTAATACACATGTACCCCCGTTACAGTTTTCATTAAATTTTTTTCGGGGGGGGGGGGTAAATTTTGTTCTCATTATCCAGTTACAAGAAAAATCACTGTTAAGGGATTGATAACTTAACAGATTTGCGGCTTCTGTAGTGTAGCAAATAGGGGCTCGCCGTTGCGTGCAGAAAACCCCAGTTACACTAACCCTCCCTGTGATTCTGTTGCAAGTTTCTTGTCTGTCAACCTTGGGTTGTTTTTTTCCCGAGCCCTAAGTACGGACGGATATTTTATCAAAATTGCTTCTCTTTTTTTTTTCCTTATCAAGAGTTTGATACTTCATTGTCCACTGTAGACTTGTATTATAATTTTGTTATTGTAGACCATGCACTCTTCAGGGCGCTCCGTTAGTTCAGCTCATAAAAATAATAAAAATTAATGAAATAAATTACCCTTTTTTTGTCCCCGAAGGGCACTTTGGTTTACCATGGCAAACATAAATACATACATAAATGCATAGTTATAAATATGTACATACAAAAATACATGCATAAAAACATACGTAAATACACAATACTACAAAAATACATGGCAGTTTGCAGCCATGCCACTGTCGGTCGCCACTGTGCAGCGTCCAGTATTTTGAGCTAGGGTTGTCGTGTCTTGCTCAAGGACACACCCCAGAGACCACCCATCTGTTCCTCGTGTCACCGACACTTGCTTGGCATTACGCTTGGCATTACTTATGAGTCTAAATTCACTACTTACTTAGCCACTGAAACTATGCTGGACAATGGAGCGGATGACCTTGGTTCGAATCTCAATTTGGTTGATCTTGAACTCGGGGTCATTCTTTTGAGATTTCAAGGCTGTCAACCTAGTTGGCTTGGTTCTATCGGAGGCGGGCATTATATTAGGAGGTCCGGCCTCTGAAACAATCGATTACTTAGTGTTAATAACGGCGTTAAACCCATACTCTTAACCCCATATTTATGTCGTGTTTTAATATCGTATCCATACAACGTGGGGGAACTCTGTGCCACCACTTTCCAAAGAGGAAATTTACTCGTTAATCCGATTCGTACGCTTTGCATAGCAGTCTGTCAAGACGTTTAAAAAAAAAAAAAGAAATACTGAAAATTTTTGTTGTTGTAATACTGAAAATTTTTGTTTTAGAAATACTGAAAATTTTAAAGAGATCTTCATACTAAAAGTATTCTAAAATGTGAAGAATACAACCCTGGGGGTACAAAAAGACCCTAGGGCTTACGGATAGGGTTAACATGCCCTGTGACGTATTGTCGGTGTACATTGGAGCGCATTATTTGACTTAATTTAGAGCGAAATGAAGAGCGGAGTGGGG